AATTCTTCCTAAATATGGCCAAGAATTAATTCTTGTATTTGTTTATTCACTCATTCATCATTCATTCATTTATTGACTCACTTTTAAAAATAATTCACTTTCTTAGTCATTCAGTCACTGTATTTTTTTGTTATTGTTTAGCTCACACCCATTTACTGACACCTTCTTTATAGTAGGTCCTGTCCCTAGCACTGGAAGCACAGAAAGGAGAAATGAACCAGACATATTCTCATGGAAAAGATAGCCATGTGCATAAATAAGCTCAATTTGGGATAATAAGTGCTATGAGAAAGGAGGGCTTATGTCAAGGATGCTCAAAGGAGGAGACTTCCTCCTCTGTCTTGGATAATCAGCAAAGTCTTCACAGAGAAGGGAGAACCTAGACTCCACATAGAAGGATTATGGACTTCAGAGAAGACTCCAGGCATTCTGGGCAAAAAGGGGGCATGTAGGGACGTATGTATGGAGAATAGCAAGATGTCTCCCACGGTTGGCACATGGAGAGAATTTTGTGAGAGAAGGCTAGAGAGGGTGGCTAGGACAGGTCATGGAGTCACGAAGGCCTTGCTAAGAAGCTTGGGTTTCTCCAGCAGGCCAGGGAGCTCCAAGTGGCCTCCCAAGTATGTGTCCAATTATAAATTCTTCATGCGTGCAACTGCATAATGGTTTTATTGATGATGTTAAAGGACCCACACTTGGGCCTGTGGTTATTGGTCAAGGCTTTCTCATGGCTCCAGTGTATATGGAAGCTTTATTCAAACCAGTTCTTTCACAAAGAATCCTTATTCATGGGCTGGCTTCAGGCTGTTAGCTTAAAGGAACTGATTTTACACAGTTTAAACCATGAATCTTGTGCCAGGGACAGTAACTAACTACTCATTCCTGCCTGCTTCATGGGTCTTGGTGGTATCAGTCCACAGTATCAAGGGAAGGCTGAGCCCTTCTGGGCTGTTCATTCATGGGTGACAGCTAATTAAGTCAAAAGTACTAGTGCTAAAAATCTCAGGTAGGTTGTATGGTAGACATGTGGATCCGTGGCTAGGTCCTGGAGGGTGAGGAGTGTGTCTGCGTGGAGCTCTGGTTCTTCTCCCACCCCTCATTTTCAGTTTCAACGAGACATTCCAGTTCCTGTTCTGGACCATGTTCGGCATGGAGGAGCACAGCGTGGTGGACATGCCTCAATTTCTGGTGCCAGAATTCGTGGGCCGGGCCCTCTATGGCATCTTCACCATTGTCATGGTCATTGTGCTGCTCAACATGCTCATTGCCATGATCACCAACTCCTTCCAGAAGATCGAAGTGCGTGAACTGAGGCCAGCATAGGCCAGGGGAGAAGAAGGGAGAAGGGAATGGAGAGGAAGAGAGTGTAAGGGCTCAGGACACTTGGGATCCTGCTCTGCCTTCACTGTTGTCTTGTTTTGTGGCTTTGGAGCAATATTTCTCTGTAAAATGAGGATCTTAGTAGTACTGTTAGTATCTCCAGACACCAAATCTCGCGCTCTTTCCACTTTATGGTTGGGGGGAGGGGTGCATTGTGAAATAGTAGCAGGGAACATAAGGGAGAGGGAAGAAATGGGTGGGTGAGTGTTTGCAGGCTGGAGAATAGGCTGGGCAGGAATTGGATGTCAGGAGGATGAAAGATAATGGGGGGAGGAGAGGAAAAGGGGAGACAGGCAGGGGATATGTGGGTGATGGGTGACGACAGGGAGAGGAAAGTGGTTGGCACACTGGAGAATAAGAGATGTGAGGATTAGGGAAGAGACAGGCAGATTGAGCAGGCAGGAGGGCCAGGTGCCAAAGTGATCCTTGCACAGCCCCCTGCCTCCTGGCCCCCAGGATGATGCTGACGTGGAGTGGAAGTTTGCTCGCTCCAAGCTCTACCTGTCCTACTTCCGAGAAGGCCTGACACTGCCTGTGCCCTTCAACATCCTGCCGTCCCCAAAGGCCATCTTCTACCTTCTCAGGTGATGACTTCAGAGCTCTCAGTCCCCACCCTGCAAGCACCCAGCCCCCACACACCACCCAGCTCCTGCCCCCATTCCCCTTGGCCCTGTCCCCTGACTAACCTTTTCCCACCATCAAAATTTCTCAGGAGAATTTTCCAGTTCATTTGTTGTTGCTGCTCCTGCTGCAAAACCAAGAAGCCAGACTATCCCCCAATCCCAACCTTTGTGAGTGCCCCATCTGCTCGTTGTTGGTCTCCCTCATGTCAGGCCTTCAGCAGTATTGTCTGTACTATCCGTTTGTCTGCATGCCCCTGGCTTGTCTGTCTTTCTGGGTGTGTTCCCCAGAAAGCCTGTTCACAATTCCCACCCTCTTGTGTGGCTCTCACTTTCCTCTTCCTGCCTCTGCCCATTTTATAAATTTCCACCCCTGTGTCATCTGACTTCAACAGAAGTCCATGCCACCCTCTTCCCAAGCCACAAATATGCCCTAAGCGCCTAACAAACCTCTTTATCCAAAAGTGGGCCAAGATATGGTTGAATGTTTTCAAAAAAACTTAAGAAGCTAGGGGTAAATGCCCCACAAACTGGGAAATTGGAAGGCCGACAGAGGCTTGAGAGAAGAGTCTGGGCGTCCAAGGAGCTCACTTACCCTCGTCACCTGCTCCCTAATCCAGTCTGGCTTGACACAAGCCCATTCTTAATTCAGAATAGCATTACTGCCAGGTCTGTAGGGGGTTCTCCCGTCCTCGCTCCACTTCCCAACCCTTGCCCCCACCCCTACCTTGGTCCCCTCAGAGTTGGCCCTTCCCCAACTTTTGGCCCCCTATCCTCCTAACTTCCAGGACTGCCCTGTGAGATGGAGGCAGACCAGGGTCTAGGTGTGTGGCCTTCAGAGACAGAAAAGTCTGCAGACTTTGCTTTGGTCCTTTATTGCCTGGGTGGGATGGGGAGCGCACAGGGGTGGGGCTGGAGCAATGATTTGAGGAAGGCTGGGGGTGGATAACCTCTCTCACCCTCCCATTGCAGGCTAATCCTGGGGCAGGGGCAGGGCCTGGGGAGGGAGAGCATGGATCTTATCGCCTTCGCGTCATCAAGGCTCTGGTGCAGCGCTACATAGAGACTGCCCGGCGCGAGTTTGAGGAGACCCGTCGGAAAGGTTGCCCACCTGCAAGCCTTCCCCATTCCTGTGGGATAAATGCCCCACACACAGACTCACACCCATCATCCAGCCTCATTTATATGTGGCCCCATCCTACCTGCAGAGTGTGGCCCCTTGCACTCAATTCCCCTCTGACCCATTCGGGCATTTTTTTCCACTCATTTCATTACATCACTTATTCCTGCCTTCATTCGTGTGTTCATTTATTCTCTCATTCACTTCTTTACCCATTCACTCAGTTCATTATTTATTCATTCATTCACTCATTCACTTATTTAGTCACTCATTTGACCAGCATTCATTGCTATATACCCCTGTGTTCCAGGTCCTGTCTTGGAGGGAGGAGGCACTGTGTAGGGCAGGAACACCTGGAAAGCTTTCAGTCTGGCGAGGAAAGGAAACCATTGTATTAGGCAGAAAGTGCTTAGCTAAGAGAGACAAAAATTGCAGTGGGAGCCCAAAGGACAGAAAGAGCCTATCATTTTGCGAGGATCATGGGAATAATGGGAAGGAAGAAGGATAGCATACCAGAAAGTGGAGAAAGAGGAGGTGAAATTCGAACTGGGCCCTGAAAGGGGTATAAGCTGGCCAAGTGTGCATTGGGGAGAGAGCTGACAGGGCCAGATGTACAAATCCTATCCTTAAAATACCCTCCCTGGGACGTCTCATCCCTTTTCTGGCTCACAAGACTTTCCTTCTTTATATGTCCTAAACTCACCATCTCCCATTCCCACTCAGATTCATCTGCCCCAGGTTCTGCCTACTCATTTCTTCCGGTTCTTTTCCCTCAGAAACCCCAGACAGGGTGTCCACTGGGATTCTGTTGAGGGTAGAACAGGTACCGGACAGGTTCGTCTTCTGAAAGATGATACTCAATACTCCATCTCCTTCAGACCTGGGCAACAGACTGACAGAGCTGACCAAGACCGTATCTCGACTTCAAAGTGAGGTAGCTGGTGTACGACGGAACTTGGCAGAGGGAGGGACACTCCGGCCTCCTGACGGTGCCAGCATCCTCAGTCGCTACATCACCCGAGTGCGCAACAGCTTCCAGAACCTGGGCCCTCCCACCCCTGAGACCCTAGAGCTGACAGTGCCAGGGACTGTGGGGACCCAGATATCTTCAGAAAGTGGGCTTCAGGACACTGGAGGGGCTGGGACTCCAGCTTCTGGAGAGTCTGGCTGCTCCTCCCAAGCTCATGTGCTGGTGCATAGGGAACAGGAAGCAGAGGGGGCTGGGGACCCACCCCAGGAGGAGGATTTGGGGGCCAAAGGGGAGACCTGATGCAGTGGGAGGTCCCCTGCTCTGTTGCGGAATGGCAGTCTAGATGGGTGAGGGTGGGGGCTACTTAGTAGGAGCCCATGCTGCTTTCCTTGCCTCAATAAAGTTTCTGTTCTGGATGGCAGATGCCTCCTGAGTGTGAGAATCCCTGTCTTTTGATGTTTTGAGATCCTCCCCCCAACTTCTCCCTGAAATGGACCTTTTTGGGAGCAAGGCAGAGAAAAATGGCTTGCTCCAAGGTCCCAGGTGGCTTGGGCCTAGGCTCCTTCTTGGGCTTCCTCAGATCTTTTGTGGGAAGAGTTGTAGAGCAGGAGGCTGGAGGCCTGGGTTCATTACCAACTCTGGCCTGGAGCCAGTTGCTTCTTTCCTTGGCTTTGCATCTCTCATCTGATAAATAGGGCTGAGGATCCATTTCCTGCCTTCATGGTTGTTGTGAGGACCTCTCTAGCTGTTAAAGCTTCTGGGTTTGCAAGTTATAGTGTGTGATAGGGGTCTGCACAGGGGACCGTGTCTAGGAGGGATCAAGAAGTTACTCTTAGTCCCTCAGTCCCTGAGTCTGGCAAGACTAGAGTGGGGCAGTCTGGTATGAATAAACCAATCATAAAGTTCCATGTCTCCACACTGCAACACTGTTTAATCAAGTAGCCTTCACAGTACTTCCCTTGCTTGTCCCAGGAAGTCCTCGCCACATCACGAGGCTCCCTCAACCCTGCCATGGCTGCAGGTCTCCCCACATCCTGGTTGGGGAGATGGCTGCTGGGGCTGCGTCTGGAACCGTGTTCTTGCTTCTTGAGGCTGTTCAAAGCCCCCCTTCTTCATATGAAGATTACCAGTTCCCAGGACTCCTAAGTGGCAGGTGTTGGACTTTCAGAGCCCAGCTCCTGAGAGCTGGAACCCCCCAAGGACCAAGAGCAGGGTCTTCCAGGAGAGCAGAGAGAAGGCCCCCTTGGAGGGTGACTCTGGCTGCCCCTCTACTGGAGAGAGAAGAAAAGAAGATGAAGGGGTCAGCAGGGCTAGGGGGGGTCGAAGCAGCTGAGGGAAGAGGCAGGAGGGTGGTGACTCACGTGGTATAGATAAACAGTCCTGCATCTTCTCCCCTGCAGAAGACAGCACCGTGAGGACCCATAGAAGCTAACTCTCACACCCCCAACTTCCTTCCCACCAGACCTCAGGAGGGCCATTCTCCCTCTCAGCCCATCTTTCCCTTCACCTATAGGCAAACTTCTGACCTCCCTATCTCCTCCTTCCACTGGGAAATCTTTCCAGCTTGCCTATTCATCCTTGCTCTTACCCCAGCTCCATCACTCCTCCATCCCGTCCCTGCCTCAGCACTAGGGAGTAGCACATATGTGCCCTGTCAGCCCCATCAAGTCCAGGTCCTCCTGAGATCTGAAGCAGTCCTCCTGTCTCTTTCCTCTGCTTGCTAACCTCCTTAACCAGGTTCTGTTGGTCTGTTAGATTATATAGCAGCTGGAACATACCGAGAACACAGAGAATCATCTGACAATATTCACAAATCTGGAGAACACTTATAGGACCTCACAAAACCTGAGTCATGGAGGACAATAACTCCAGCTGACTTCTAGCCTTCAACTTTCCCCATTAACCAAGTGGACCTCCTGAAGGCCCTGGGGATTGTGTAGGGTCATCCTGTCTTATTTTACCCACCCTGACAGTCCTGCTTCCCCCATGCACAGCTCACCACCCAAATAGGCGCAGTTAAAGTGGCTGCAGGTCTGATTATTGCTCCAGAGAGTCACTAGGCTCTGGATTCCATCCTGGGAGAAGCTGGTGACCGAGAAGACTTCATAGGGAGGAATCAGCACCTCACGCTCTTTGCGAAAGACAGACAGGGCCTGGATAGGGGCCCCAAAGCAAGTCCTTAGAGAGAAGAGGGTGGCATTACCAAATGTGCGGGCCACGCCCTTATCCAGGGAGCTGGAGGCAAACTGGCCCAGGCGGACAGAGTCTCCCAGCCTCCTAGGTTCAAAGCGAAGGCTGTTCACACCTCGGAACACCACTGCCCCAGGTCCTCTGCCGCAGACCCCAGTGCCCCGCAACAGTTGCAGGGCCCGGGTCAGGTAGAAATGCAGGGCCTTGAAGGGGAAATGCCTCATGTAGTGCTCCCGGGAGACACCACTCCTCTGCACAGCCTGGTTCAGCTCCCTGTACAAGGTATTGGATGAGTTGGTATAGACCATAACGGCCATTCCATGCTGAGCTTTGAAGCCGGGGGGCAGAGTGAGGTTTTGACGACGTCTGTGCTCCCAGGCCTCCTGGGCTGCCTTCCAGGATTCCCGGAGCAGGTCGTGGTGGACCATCTCCTCCTTTAGCAGGACGGCTGCCTTCTCCTCCATCTCCTCCGAACAGCCCACATAGGCATCATCGAAGGTGTCTGGAGCCATGCCTAAGGTCAAGATGGAAACAGCCTGGGCCTATGGAGGAAGGAAGAGAGGGGCCACACAGGAAAGGGTATAAGTTTAGAGAACTGGGCAGGGGTCCTGGTGGCAGATCAGTTCAGAAACATAAAATCTCATTTCTATGCCCAAATATCTGGTGTATGCAATTTGGCAAGAGCCCAAGAAGAGGCTTAAATAACACAGGCACTGGAGTCAGACAGACATGGGTTCAAATCCTTATTTCACCGCCAACTACCTGTGGGATCTTAGGCAAGTCTCAACTTTTCTGGGCTTCAGATTCACCACCTATAAATTGAGGATACATTCAACTTCACAGAGTTATTTGTGAATAGCATAAAAGTCTTCACTTCTACACAGCCTAAAAGAGTTTTAAAGGAGTCTTTTAAGGTTCCTGCACGCAGTGGGAGGTGGGGCTAGACAACCTCCAAGCGCTTTTTCAGCTCTAAGAGTTGGTATGTAGGTGATATACAAATCCACAGCCAATGTTCAATTAATTACCTGACCCCCATCCGCATTCTCCTCCCACTCTTTCCCTCTCATCCTTTGGGAAGCCCCTGTGGGTGCTCAGCCACCAAGCCAGAACATCGTCAGCTCTGAGACTCACAAGTCTTCTGCTCTGGAAGCCTTTATCCCCAAACTTGGGGTGGAAGTTGGGTGTGAGGTGAAGCCCTGGCCTGGGCAGGGCTGCAGGGCAGCAGCACACAGGTAGCCCAACCGGGTGGGCCTAGGCTGAGGCTGTGATGGGGGTGAGAAGTGGGGAGGAGAAAGCTGGATGCAGTCCCTAAGGAGGGGTAATATGAAGGAAGAAGGATCATGGGAGAGCTGGGGGTGAGGTAGGGGGTCCAGGGAGAGGAAATGGGAACTTGGGCTCCCTGCAACGATGAGGTTCCTGAGAGGAAGAGAATTAAGGGGAGTGTAATCCCAGGGACGAGTCCCTGGGAGAGAGTTTTGAGGAGTCAGCCCCCCGTCCACCTTCTTAAGATCTGTCCCCGCCCCCAACCAACTGCCCGCTTCGTGGCAAGGAAGTTCCCCGAAATTACCTGACAGAGGGTGTGGAAGCCGAGGCAGCTGAAGGCGATCAGCAGAGCCATCAGCATCATCCCTGGAGGAGACTTAGGAGGGCGAGGTCCGGATGAGGGCGGGACCAGCGGCGGTGGAGAACTGGCTTTGATGGGCTCGGGACCGGGCGAAGCCCTGGACCCTTTCTCCTGCGGCGTGAGGGGTCCCTGGTCCAGGACTGGGGCCCAGGCGGGGCGTGGGCGGGGCCAAGGGCGGACCTAAGGGGTGGGCGGGCCCTTGAATTTTACTGTCCCCAGCACAACCCCGAGTCTACGCTCCTCAGACTCCCGCCGCTCCCACACTCAGCTTCTCCTGTCCGGGGACTTTTTTGAGACGCTAAAGGTGGGGACGTAATTTGGCTCCGCCTGGAGTCGGGAGAGGGCAGGGGACCGAGGACCCACCTGTAGGTTGCTGAGGCCGAGAGCGGGAAGGAACGCTGACAGGACGGCGCAGGCCGGGGGCTGATGTCATGAGACAGGGAGACCCCCACTCATGACATACGCGATTCGCTGCCGCGAAACTGCTTGCTGTGTAACAAGGTAGATTAAGTGTTTGAATTGCTTAAATTTTGTTATAAAAATTGTTATTGTTTGCTGTGTGACAAGATGATTAAGTTTAAGTGGTGTTTGAATTGCTTAAAAAATGTTATTGTTTAAAACTCCCCCTCGGCTCTTTAGCCCCGCCTTGTTAGACGTGAAAAGCTACCTATTAGCCTGCACGCAGAGAAGCTTGAATTGTGTTTAATGATCCCCACCCAGGCTGCCCCTGAGCCACCAACAGGCTTGTTTCAGCTTCTGTCATCAGCTTGCGCTCGGCCTCCCCTATTAGATGATAAGTATGTAACTATATGATAACTTTAACTGTGTGACTAATGTAAAAATGTACCTTTTAAAAGTCCCTCTAAACTTCAATTCAGGGCTGCTTCCTTCCAAGACTTTTTGTTGGAGGAACAGTCGCCGGCCGGCCAATAAAACCCCCTTTTAAATTCTCAATTGGGTGTTCTGGTTCCTTTTCCGAGCGGCAGCCTCACAACAGTCCCGGCCCGCGCTGCGCAGTCCCCGGAGTCCTGCTGATAAAGTCCCGGCAGCTAACTATAGCCCCCGCGGCGGTAACCCGACGCCTCCTCCCCAGCTGCAGACACGCGGGTGGGGAGCGGCAGTGGTGGGCGAAGGGGCTGAGGGGCGGAACTCCCCTTCCCAACGACCGTGCGTTCCTTCTCCAGGACCCTCCTCGGTTCTGAGTAAGGCCAGGCTCGGGGAGGGGACTTGTGAGACTTCGGTCTCAGGCGCCCCCCCACCCCCCACAAGACCCCCGGCAGGGGTCGGCCTCCCCTTCCTGTCCCCCAGCAAAGAGGTCACCATGTGTGTATTCGCTGATACTGAATTTGCATACGGGCCACACGGTGGTTCATGTGCTACAGCATCTGAGCAGCACCCGCTCCCCTCCCTTCGCTTTATCCCCTCCCCCTCCCCCATCAGCAGGGTTGGACCCGCAGAGCTCTGTGTCTCGGATCCTCAGGGTCCAGCCCTGTGCCCGCCCTCAGATACTCTCTCTGGACCTCTCAGATTTAGGTGACCCCATGTCCCATGTTTACAAACACTAGCCTTCCCCCATCTCTTCTGGGCTTGTCTATAAATAACCTGGCTCTGAATTTTGGATGCCCCATGAGAGGTAATGAGAGAAGGGGACAGCTGATGAATCAGTGTGCCACTCAGGGAAGAGCTTTCTGACTGCCAGAGCCTGGAGGAGGGTGGAAGTCACTCCCTCAGAGTGGCTAGAGGACTTCGGGGTCCTGAATGTCAGGATTTAAAAGATGCTGCCTTTAAAAGATGGGGCCGAGGGCCCAGCCCGTGGCGCACTCGGGAGAGTGCAGCGCTGGGAGCGCAGCAGCGCTCCCGCGGCGGGTTCGGATCCTATATAGGGATGGCCGGTGCAATGCGCTCACTGGCTGAGCGCGGTGCGGCCGGTCACAAAAAGGACAAAAAAAAAAGATGGGGCTGAGGTAGGCATGGGAAAGGTTAGACCTACCCAAAGGACTCCCTCCCAGCTTGGCTCATTAATTTACCCCATCCCTGTCCTCCCATCCTCTCTGATTGTCAGTCAAATAAAGAGTTTTCTTCACCTAGATCCTGTTTTCTCCAAAAATTCTTCCTGTAGACCAAACAGGAAGACGAACTGTGTGTCCAGGCTTGGGGGAATGTGGGGAGAGAGGTGGAAAGAGTGGCATCCCCACAAAACAGTGCTTGTTAGGAAATTAGCTTCAAGACAAGTTCTTTTGCCCCCTTCCAACAAGAAGAGCCACCACTCCAAAGCCCTCCTAGATTAGAAAATCAAGAGTCACTCTACTGTTTACTGTTATTGTTAAAAACAGCATTTGCTTACATATTCTGCCAGGCTGTCTCTGTGGAGGAACCTGAGTGTTTGCAGTTGCTTGAACAAATGATACTGTCTGGGGACAGCTTGGTCAGCTGGGACAGCACCTGGGATCACTGCTTTGTCCTCTCCACCCTCTGGCTTTGGGAAATTGCCCTCCGGTTCCAAAAAGGCTCCAAGAGATGGAGTTAAATTTAGTCATTGGACAAGTGGGACAGAAAGTCCTCCACAATCACACAGCAAGACAGGGCTGGAGCTGGGACCCAGAGCCCAGCCTTCTTAATCTGAATCTTTCCTTGCACCTCATGTTAAGTCTTAATATTCACATGAAAGGAACAAACTATAAGGAGATGCTGTCTAAGGCCAGGGGAGCTGAAGTCTCCTCTCTTTCTCCCTGTTGGGTGATCGGACCACAGGGCCAAATCCAGCGAGGAGGCAGTTGTCCCAGCCAGGATCCTTAGAGCTTCAGCCCCCCTTCTCTCTGGTTTCAGGGATTCCTCTTTTTACGGGAAGAGCAATCGCTTCTCAGCCTTTTAGCTATGATCAAGTGTAGTATGGGAAAAGCACTGGCCCAGGTCACACTGGGCAGGGCTAGTGTTCCTGAACCTTGAGGAGACATCCAGAAATAGATGGGGGAGTGTCACATTTCTGAGCAGCTGTGTGGGGGAGGTAGGAAGAGTGTGTGGGATTGACAGTATAAAGGAGAAAGCTGTCTTTCCCCTCCCCTGGTGACCATTGCAGGAGACCAACACCAGCCCCCCCACCTTGGAGAAGGCCTAGGTAAGGGGCACACCACCCTCCTCCTGGGCACCGGGCAGGGAATGATTTTTTTGAGGTGAAATTTGAGAGGTTAGTGGTGGAATTTTAGGAGTAATGAAAAGTTTCAGGGAATCTTTCATGGAGAGGTTTGGGATACATAGGAAGGTTTGGGGCCACTGGGAAGTTTGGGATTCCTAGAGACAGATTTGAGGTCGCACTGCCAGAAGGGAATATTCATCAAGGTCAATGTATGCAGAGCCACGGTGGTGGTGGTGGTGGTGGGGGTGATGGCAGAGCCTTGTCTAGAACTTTGTTCTGTACTGCAGAAGCCAAGCAGTGGTGGTGGGGCTGAAGAGATCACGTTACTGGCAACAGGTTCGGCTGCCCTCTTGCACTTAACAAATGACCTGAAAGCCCAAAAGTTAGTGCACAGATTGGAAGCTTTATTCAAACAACTGGCAACTGGGGGATGAATAGGCTAAAATCATCCCATCTTCTGATACCTGGTCTGGGGGTTTTAAAGCAGAAAAGGTGGGAAGGTGAGGTAAGGGTTTGTCTTATAGGCAAAGGGGAGGTCTGTCATGGGATCAGCAGGTGGTCTGAATCACATGTCAAGGTCTCAGAATGGAATGGATGCTTGGCATCATGGAGTCTGAGGTTGGTGGATTGGTCAGTTTGAAGCCCTTGATATTGTCTCATGGCTGAGGTTCTTATTTCCTAGTGAGAACTCAAAGATGATAATCTCAGGCAAACACAATGGAACATAAAAATATCTGACTCAGATCCTTAACTAGTGTGAAGGCAATGTTCCTCAAGCAAGAAAGTTAGTTATTAGTCAGCTAGAGGGCTCTGTCCTTCCCCTGAAATTCCTTTGTTTACAGGTTGATTGGGAAAGTGGGAAAACCAGAACTTAGTTATTAATTCTTATGTATATAACATCTAAGTGAGCACAAGAGCATAATGTGGGAAACAAAAACAGATAAACTTTTTAAATTTAATAAATATTTATTGAACCCTTAATATTTTCCAAACATTTTTCTGGTTTTTTTTGTTTTTGTTTTTTTTTTGTCCTTTTTGAGACCGGCCGCACCGCACACAGCCAGTGAGCACTGTGAGCGCACCGGTCATCCCTATATAGGATCCGAACCCGGGGTGGGAGCGCTGCTGCGCTCCCAGCGCCACACTCTCCCAAGTGCGCCACAGGCTCAGCCCTCATATTTTTCTGTTTTAACAGGCCAACATGGTACCTCACTCTTTTGTTTTTGTGGGTTTTTTTAAAAAATTGAAACATAATTGTACATATCTGTGGGGTACAGTGTTGAATTTCCATACCTGTGTGCAATATGTGATGCTCAAATCAAGATAATTAGTATATTCAACATTGCATGATGTAATCATTTTTTGTGGCCCTTTACAATTTCTTGCTAACCCCCTACCCCCAAAAGACAAGCTTTTTTTTTTTTTTTTTTTTTAAAGATGACTGGTAAGGGGATCTTAACCCTTGTCTTGGTGTAGTCAGCACCACGCTCTCCCAAGTGAGCCATGGCCTGCCCTAAAAGACAAGCTTTTTTTTTTTTTTTAAAGATGACTGGTAAGGGGATCTTAACCCTTGTCTTGGTGTAGTCAGCACCACGCTCTCCCAAGTGAGCCATGGCCTGCCCTAAAAGACAAGCTTTTTTTTTTTTTTTTTAAAGATGACTGGTAAGGGGATCTTAACCCTTGTCTTGGTGTTGTCAGCACCACGCTCTCCCAAGTGAGCCATGGCCTGCCCTAAAAGACAAGCTTTTAAGAAAGATTTTTCCTGGGACACAATTTCATATCTGTATAGTTTCAGACTTAGGTCCAGTTTTACAATTCCTCTGCTAACCTTAAGGACTTAATGATTATCAGTTTCTTGGAGTCGATACTAAAGGTCATACTTGAGAGAAATCAGGGTTCCAGGTATTTTGAGGGCAAAGCCATTGTCCTCTCCTGTTCTCACAGTCAGAAAGGGAAATGGGCTGCCATGTGTTTGAATCAGTTAAAATGGTCCAACAACTTCCCATGGGAGGGACTCTGGGGTGATTAACAATAGTTCCAATGCCTTCTAACTGCACCACTGAGTAACTCTGGGTTTTACTTCATCTGGGTACATGGGCTTTAAGGACACAGTATCTAAGGTCGCATTTACCATCCAGGAATTTCCATAATGTAGGGGGCCTATAAACCTCCCAGAGATGTTTAGATTTGGTGTCAGTTGTGTGCATGGTGGCCATTCTCTCACAGCTATCTCAGTTCCATCTGTACCAGTATGGTCATTAGTCCCAGAGATGTTTAGATTTGGTGTCAGTTGTGTGCATGGTGGCCATTCTCTCATAGCTATCACAGTTCCATCTGTACCAGTATGGTCATTAGTCCCTACTGAGTTAGCGTGCAAGTGCACTGCCCCCTCTTGAGTTTCAAAATAAGACTGCACAGTTTGTTGGGTTTTCTCTACCCACTTAACATGGCCTCGTTATTCTTTTGTGCTGTTTCCCATTTTTTTCCTTCTTTCTGGAATAAAATCCCTTCTATATGTGTTATCTTGGATAAAGAGGCTTTTTCCAGGGAATGCCTTTCTTCAATGGCTGCAAATTCAGCCTGTTCCATAATGCTGACGCTGGTTCCCATTTCCCTGGGAGATCTCTTTTTAGCCTCTGTGGGAGCCAATTCTGGTGCACCCACTGCAAATGTTGCCAAATTATATTAATAGCTTTAGCCCAATTGGGATATACAGAAGTGACCCAGAATCTCTGGGTGTCCCAAACCATTGTCAGGTGGGTAGATGTCACTCCTAAGTAGGCTTTTGTCTAAGTATTCCGTAAGGCTTCTGTTTTAGTCCGTTTTGTGTTGCTATAACAGAAATACCTGAGACTGGGTGATTTATAAAGAAGAGAAGTTTATTTGGCTTACGATTCTGGGACAGCTGCATCTGGCGTGGGCCTCAGGCTGTTTCTATGCATGATGGAAAAGTGGCAGGCAGCTGGCAGGAACAGCAGATCACATGGCGAGAGGAAGCAAGAGAGAGAGAGGAGGTGCCAGGGTCATTTTAAGCAATGAGCTCTCGCAGGAACTTATAGAGTGAGAACTCACTCATTAATCCTCCCACCCCCAGGGAGAGCATTAATCCATTCACTAGGGATCCACCCCCATGACTCAATCAGTTTCCAGCACTGCACATTGGAAATC